CAACCCCAACAAACCTGTATTACTTTAAAGTAAAACACAGCAGGGCTGCGGCAGGGAGTGTCTCAGAGTTAGATATCAGGGTGCAGAAGGCACTTCCCATGTGGTTAGCCTGTATCCCAATTAGAGGAAGCACTGTCCTGCTTGGGGTTCCCCAAGCCAACAGTCCCTGCACCCCGTCACTCTAACTCGTGTAGTAAGAAGCAGAAGTCACAGGTTCAGAGTGCCAGGAGGCTGGTTAACAGAGGAACACCCAACACCCATACATCTGCCCAGCAGCTCCTGGTCCATTCGCCATGTGGGAAAGTCATGATCATGCTGCAAAACTGCTGGACTCCTTTGGGAGCTCAGCAGCCTGTCCACAGGGGCTCTTCTCTCCTGGAGAGGAAGCCAGGGGCACTGCGTGAGAAGTCCAGATGCCTGATTCCTAGTCGAGCTAGACTGGTGACTCACCGGCTGTGTGTGGCCCTGAGAAGCTTTATAACTTCTCTGGCCTCAGTTTCTTTGGTTGCAAGAAGCAGATGGTTCTAAAATTCCACTGCCTCCCTTTCCCATGGTGCAAGCATTAATGAAGAGACAGAGAAAAGAGACTTTCTAGACTAATTTTAAGAACATTTCGTAAGTGCCAGGTACCTGCAAGGCTAGATTGTAAGGATACTGATTTAATTGTGCTAAGAGTCACAGAGAAAACACACCCCCAGCATTAGGACCTCAAAAAATAAGAGGCAGAAATCATTGTTTTAGGCTCCTCCATCCCTAGGTTTTCCTTAGACAATGATAGCAAATAGGAGTCACCTCATGGACCAACTTTAATTGACCAAGAGTGGTTGTTCTACCAAAGGTGTTATGGCTGTGTAAGGTCAGAGGGAGCACAGAATTGTGATTGATTAATAATGTCTACCACACGTGCAGGATGGGCAGGGCTATGTCTTCTGCCTTAGTCATGTATTTTAATATGAAAACAAAGCCCAAGCGTTTTCAGAAAAAAACCTAGAAGAATGAGAATGGAAAAAGCAAAAACAAACAAACAAACGAAACGAAACGAAACCCACAAACCAAAACCAAAACAAGTAAGCAAGTAACTCCCCCCTCCCCCACACACAAAATACCATTGTCCTGCAGCCAAGTGCAGTATAGATGGATAACCCCAGCATTCTGGGGTTCAAGGCCACAAGTTCAAGGCCAGAGTGGACTATAAGAAAGATCCTTAAAATACTAAAAAAATAAGTAAAGAAAAGAGATGAGAGTGCTGGGCACTGAAGTTACTCAAAATCACAGAATACAATAGGCTCCGGGAGCCACAGGGAGGAGAAAAGACTTTCTGGGTGAGGTTATTGCTAAGCCAATTCCTTAAGAACATGTGGACTCCAGCCAGGCGAAAGGAACAAGGTGTGTGGGTGGGGGAGCCAGGTGGTAAGCCAAGTGAGAAGGGCTGACAGGGGGAACACTCTGGGGACGGTGGCACAGTGCCGGCGATGGGGCTGGGAGTCATTTAGAAAGTTGGCAGCACAGATTTCAGGAGTGAGCAACAGGGACCAGCGATGTCGCCATGGAGGGACATCAGCCTCCTGGACTCTAGCGAGGCTGCATAACTGACCTAAAAGATAGACCGCAGGAGCCACAGGTCAGTCCTGTAACTGATCGCTCCGTAAGATCGAATTACGGGGTCAGGGGAGAGAGAGAGACGATGGGCAAAGGATCAGCCTCTGAGTGGGAAAACTCAGCCTAGAGAGACAAAGGAGGGGTTGAGTCCCCAAAGGGATGCTACAAACCAGGGGAGCAGCTCACATGTGGTCCACTCCCATAGGAACAGAGAGACTCAGAGCTGACCAGGCCCAGCTAGTCCCAGGCCACACCTGAGGAGTTAGAGAAAGCAGCTGTTCCAACAGATCCAAAGCCTTCCTGCCCTTGGATCCAGTAAGTTCACTTCTAAAATTGAGAAGCACCCACAGAACAACTCAGAGAAACAGACCTGGAGATGCTGGCCGCAGTACTGTCTACCACAGTGACAAGCACGAAGCCATGTGGGTGTCCAGCAGAAGGGGAGGGCCAAACTACGGCCACATTCAAGCAGTGCAATCCTAAGCCAGAGAATATGACAAGGGAAGCCGGGTGCAGTGGCACACGCCTGCAATCCCAGCACTCGGGGAGGCAGAGGCAGGTGGATCTCTGTGAGTTTGAGGCCAGCCTGGTCTACAAAGCAAGGCCAGGACAGCCAAGGCTACACAGAGAAACCCTGCCTCAAAAAAGAAAAAGAAAAAGAACATGATAAGCAACATAGGAAGACAGCCCCCCACGGTGTTAGATGGAAATAGATATAAAAAGGCCAGCCTAGAAGAAAAATATTCTGAAGTGACAGCAGAGGGCTGCTCTTTGAAAGTTCTACTTCAAAAGGGTTGTGAGATGCCAAGAGTCTGGCTCACAACTGTGATCCCAGCGGTTTGGAAGCTGAGGCAGGAGAATTGTGTTTGATACCAGCCTGGGCTGCATAGTAAATTCCAGGCCAGAGTGAAATCTTACCTCAGTGAGGCAGAAAGGAAGGAAGGAAGGAAGCACAAGCAAGCAAGCAAAAACAAATGAACAAACAAACCTGAAACAATAGGTTTCTGAAGCCAAGCATGGTGGCGCATGCCTATAACCTCAGAAAATGTAGCCAGCTCATGCTACATAGTAAATTCAAGACCAGCCTGAGCTACAGAACCCTGGTTTCAAAACAAATATCTATGAAATAATTAAATGAACTAATCTATATTAGATTTTGGTACCTAGTACGTGCTCAATAAATGGCGGTCATCATTTGGTTTTGCTCTGATTTAAGAACCTGTTCCCACAATGTCTTTCAGATTCCTTGTGGCCGTCACTGCAGTTCAGAGCCACATACACTGTGCCCAGCTCATCCAAGTGATTGAGGACACCTCAAAGATCTAGACCACCTTAAGAGCTGACAGTGGGTCTCCATGGCCGGGGGGAGGGGGGAGTCCACAGGAGAAAGCTCCACTCAGGACAGCACATTCCAGTGTTCTCTTTTATAGAGTGCCAAGAATCACCCTCTTTGATGAACAGTAGGTGGCTCTGGAATGACCTGTGCCAGTTGACCCTCCATAGGCCAACCCCAATGAAGGTTCTGTCTAAATGGTGCTTCTGTCCACAGCTGTGACACCCCAGAGCCCGGCATGGCAGCAAGGACAAGGGTCCTTTGACCAGGCGCAGGGAAGCAGGGAAACTCCTCTGTGCTGGCTCCCGCTGCCTTCTCCCATCTCCTCACAAACCAGCCAGACACTCATACCCACAAGGGGTGACCCCAAGTGCAGAGCTGAAATGCTACCTTGGTGAGCACTGGGAAGCCGGGTCATCACTACTGTGGGACCCCTGATGGGGCTTCGGCATTCTTTGTGCTGAGGCTGCCCTGTGTTCTGAGGGGTGTCTACAACTACCCAGATAGTGCCCGGCACCACCCCTTCAGCCACAAAGAACAAAACCATCCCCACACACCAGAAGACATCGCTAGGAACAAAACTGCCCTCACCTGAGAACTACTGGCTCCAGGAGATTTTGAACCCAGGATAGTTTAGCCAAGGGGGAAACCAACACAAACACACAAAACACAGTGCTGTCAGGGCTGGTGAGTTGGCTCAGCAGGTAAAGAAGCTCACCATGAAGCCCTGTGACCTGATTCCCAGAGTCTAGATGGCGGAAAGTAAGAACCGATTTCTGAAAACTGTTCTCCAGCCCCTGGCATGCAAACACAAATAAATAAAAATATTTTTGAAAAAAACGTAATGCTGTCATAAAAATTAAAGCTAAAGCCAGCAGCAACCTCAGGAGAGGCACTCTTATCTCCAGCTGAGATGAAGATGAAAAGCGGGTCTTATGCACACCAAGGGCTGACAGGGCACCTGGGCCGAGGGAGCCTGAGACCCTGCTCTCAGATTGCCACTCCAGGGTGGAGCCTCACACACACAAGTGCATTCAGGGTTAGGGTTAATGTCGATTGGACATCTGAGGGAAGGGCCCAGAATTAGAGTCAAAATCTTCACACAAAACTCCCCTCCACAGCCAACACCTGCTCTGCACATGGCAGACCCAGAACCAGCCTCGACTAGCGCCTCCGTTTCACAGATGGGGACTCCAAGGCTCAAGAGGAAAACTGGTGTAGATCTACATGGCCACACCCTCCTCCCCGTGGGAACTACTGTCCCAGCAGCTGTGTGAGTCCCAGACCTCCTCAGGCTAAGGCGGCCTCAAGGCTCTTCCAAGCGTGGGTTTCAAATAGGGGCTTGGTGTCATCTAGTGAGCTGGCAGGGTAGGGCTCTGGGAGTGTCCCCACAAAGAAGAAAGCAAGGCTCAGGTAGCACCGTTGTGAACTGCAAGGCAAAGGGCAAGGCAGGCGGCATTGGTTTCCTTCCACTTTCCAACAAGGCCTGGGCTGGGGGAGGGGAGGAGAGCGAGGGTCTGAAACTGGCTTGGGGACTCATTCCAGTGCTCTTAGGAGCTTCTTCAACTTGACGTATGGAAGACAGGACTTTCTTTTTTTCCAACACAAAGTGAGGGAGGGGTTCGAGCTAAGCCCACTGCCGCGGACAGTAACCCCACCATCCAGCCCCCTTCTCCCGACCCCTTCCGGATATGGAGGAAAATCTTTTCATGACTTCCCCTAAAAAGGGCCCTGGAGTTTTGCAGCTCCATCTTCAAGTCCCTGGAGGTGGGGGCGGTCTTTGATCTGGAGTGGGGAGAGGCTGGGGAAGGGAGGGCTTACGTTCTAAGGCGCGGGGTGGGGGTGGGGGGTGGATTGAGAACCATTCTGGAACGGGGGGAAAACGAAGCCGGGGATGAAGGTGTTCGGCGGCGCCGGGAGGCCGGCGCAGCATGCTCACAGTGCAAATAGTAAGCGATGTTTGGGTGCAGTGGGTGACAGGGAGTGAAGGCTGGGATGCATGTGAGGGAAGGGGAGGGGGCAGAGGGATCTGGGCAGGTAGGGAGGGCTGGCGGTGCCCGGGACTCACCGAAGAAGGGCGGCAGGTGGGCCACCGCCTCCAGGAAGGGCCCGGTCTCGATCTGCCGGTCTGCGGGCAGCGGCTTGAGCAGGTGCTCGGCCAGCAGCGCCATTTCGGGGTCGAGGCCCTTGGTGATGCCCCAGCCCGCGCCGAGGGCGTCCGCGCCCGGGCTGTCACCGCCCGCCGCCTCCTGGGACGCCAGCGTCGCCACTTCCGCCCGCGCCTCGCAGCGAGCGCCGAGCGCCGCCCGCAGGCCGGGGCCATAGAACACTTGGCCCCGCCCCTCAGCGCTTCTACCAATAGGCCTCCACCGCCGCGCCCTCCCGACCAATGGTAGCCCGCCTCTCCCGCCGCCGCCGCGCCATTGGCCTGGGGGCGGGGCTTAGCGGAAGCGCGGGAGGCGGACACACCAGGTGAGCCTCGCCCAGGTAAAGGGCCTGTCAGTCCCCGGCCACCTCCACCCCTAACCTGCGGTCGGGGCTGGTGTGGCTCTGGTGCCGAACCGCTTACAGTCCAAACCCTAGCGGGGCCTTGTCCGTCCCCCAGTCCGGGGCCCTCCAAAGGCCCCGGGTTCGCGCCTCCCACAGCCTGCACCCGGGAACAGCTCAGCCACGATGCAGCCTGGCTGCTGTGCCCTAAAACTCAGAGCTCAGTGTACCCCAGACTCTCCGCCGTGGAGAGCCCGGTGCTCCGCCCACGCTGAATAGTCAGGAGCCCTCCCCTGCGCGGCCGGGCACTGTGCTGGGCCCCCAGGAGAAAGCGATGTGCCGCCAAGTCCCTGCCCTGGAGCCCACGGTCTAGTCGGGACTCCTCGCCGCGCAACACACAGACACACAGCTTCAGACCCTGGTTTGCGAGTGAAGAGAATAAAGCAGGTTGAGAGAGAGGGTCGCTCAGCTGGCCCTGGGGTGCACCCCAGCACCTCGTAAACCCGGATGTGGTGGTGCGCGCCTGTATGCCCGGCACCTAGTGCAAGCCAGAGGTCGCCCCTGGATACGTACTCAGCAGGAGGCCAGTCTGGGCTAGGGATCCTGTCCCTAGATGTCCATCTCTGGGATGGACAGAGGGGAGTGACACGGAGTTGAGAGCTGTGGGGGTGGAAGTCCTTGAGCAAAGCCTTAAGTTAAGGGGGATACTGCTGTGTGCAAGGAGCCCGAGCCTGTGAGGAGACGACAGGGGAAGAGCTGCGCTGAGACCGGGAAGGCCGGCAGGGGCTGCGGAGTGATGGAGAATTCGTAGTTCGCGGTCAGGACGGTGAGAAATGCCTAGCGCCAGAAAACATGTGCTAAACCTTGTTAAAAGATTTTAATTTGCCCTTTGAGGGGGCAGCTGGCAGAGAGATTGATCCAAACTATAGGCATAACCCCGGCAGAATCAGCAAGTCGGGGGATGGGGGGAGACAGGACCATCATTATCTCTTGTTCAAGTGTGACAGGCCCAGGCAAGTGAGATCTACTGATAGGAGGCCAAGCCAACTGAAGCTTGTTCCCACCCCGCCCAGCCTCGCCGCCTCCAGCATCCCAAGATGCAATCTTCCTAAAGCTACAACAGCACCCCCAGGGCCCACCCACCTCCATCAATTCCACACAGAGATCACAGCCTGCCCGAGGCCTCTGGCATCAGAGGACATCCTGGTTTCTCAACCTGCTCATCAGAGCCAGGCCATTCTGAAACCATGTGTGACACAAGAAAGCTGATCTTCAAGATAATGACCTCATGTCCTGAGATAGAGCCTCTGTATGGCTTTGGGGGGGGGGGGAAGTTCCTCCATCCACCCATTTTTTACCCCTCCATCCTTCTCTCCCTACATACATCCATCTACACATCCATCTCTCTCTCCCTCCATCCATTGTCCTGCTCGTCCACCCAACTCATTTGAAAGTGCTTGCCCTTGAGTTGACTCTTCCCACGGCTCTTGATGGTGAAGGCTGGCAAGGGGGTGCCATGGGTTGTGTGTGGTGTGCTGAGGAGTTGGGCCAAGACTGGAAAGTTGAGGGTCACACAATCCATCTAAAGGACACTATTATGCTGTTCACCCAAACAGTTTTTGTCCTTGGGCTGCTAATTTCTCATATCCCACAAAACAAGTCTAAAACCTAGATTTTGTAGGTTTAAAAAAAAATCATAGTTTACATATTGGTTACTAAATTATGGTATTTTAAAAATTATATAAGCCACACAAAAATAAGTTCTGTCTTTTCTTTTCATCTTTCCTTCCTTTTTTTCTTTCCTTTCCTTTTTTTTTTTTTAATTTATTTTTTAGACAGAGTTTCTTTGTATAATAGCCTTGGCTATCCTGAAACTCATTCTATAGACCAGGCTGGCCTCAAGCTCACAGAGATTCACTTTCCTCTGCCTCTCAAGCGCTGGGGCTAAAAGTGTAGGCCACCAAGCTCAGCATATTTTTATTTATTTTATTTTTTTGAAACGGCTATTACTGTATAGTCAAGCTGGCCTAGAATCAACTATGTAGCCCAGGCTGGCTTCAAACTCCAAGAAAATCTTGTGTTAGCCTCTCAAGTACTACACAGTTTAAACAAACAAAACCCCAGAACCCTACAATCTTAAATTCTCAAAAATGTTGCAAGTCCCATACAAATAAGTTCATTGAAATCATCCTGTATATTTTAATGCTCATTTTCTCCAAAGATGTTCCACGGAATGATGGGTTACCACCAGCAGGAAACTAATGCCATTCAGCAGTCTCAATTTGCCTTTTGTGTCTGGAGTCCCAAGTCCAGGATCATGAGTTTCATGTAGTACAGTTGTCCTGTTTCTTGGTGTCCGTGAACATTCCTCAGTCTTTCCCGGACCCCCATGACTGATACTTTTAAAGAGGGCTTGTCTGATGTCCTCCATTCAGACACGGGTTCTGTGTCTCACAACACAGCAGCAGCATGCTGTGTCCCCTTGGATGCTGCAGGTGACACCTCTGATTTCAATAGTCCCATATTGAGATTGTTAGCTTTTTTTTTCTTTTGGACACGGTCTCACTATGTAGATCAGACTGACCTCAGACCTACAGAGATCTGCCTGCTTCTGCCTTCTGAGCGCTGGAACTACAGGTGTGCGCCACTGTAAAGGCTCAGATCTTCATCTCATCATTCGAGGAAGGCAAGGCCCCTTCCACTTGGCCCCACTAGTATGCTGTTCCTTTCCTTTCTAAGAACTAGCAAACACTGCCATATCGAAGACGTGACACTGCTCTGTCCCGGGCGTGGTCTGTGACAGCCCCTCCAAGCTGGCCTCTGTTCAACAAGACCCCTCTATGGATGAAGAACTCTTCACTCTCTAGCACAAAATATTCCAGGCTTAATATCCCATCCCGCCCTGGTCCTGAACTCAGTCATTTCTCCAGAGGGCTCTGGTTCCCTTCTGTGCTGTGCTGTATTCAGAAGCCACAACTGGGATGTGTTGTTGGCCATGGAGATGACTCTGGCTGGATCCTCTCAGAGGAGTTCTGAACCCATCAGTGTCTGTGGCTGCTGCCTCTGTGGGTGTCTGTCTGAATGGAAGCTGAGGGTTGGCCTCCAGTCCATCTAGTCCAGGGGACTTATTCTTGCCTCTGCCCTCCCAGAAGGTGCGTGTAGCCCATTCCCAGTGCTCTCATTGCTGTCATTGGTCTGTTGATTTGAGCTGCTTCAACCCCAAACCTAAGATGCCTCTCATGCCTGAAGTTCCAAGAGGAGGCCCCTTTTCCTTCCATGAGCCTCAGTTTTCATGCTGGACTGCCTTCAACCATGCAGACACCTTTCTTTTCCCGTTTAGTCTCTGAGGCCCCTCTTTTGAGCAGCAGGTACCCTCTCCCTCACCACTGACACTTGTTCAGCAATGAAAGGGGGCCAGGTATTGTGCAGGGGCCGGGCCATGTGGTGTACATCTTTAATCCCAGCACTTGGGAGGCAGAGGCAGGTGGATCTCTGTGGGTTCGAGGCCAGTCTGGTTTACATAGGACATCCAGGTCTACATAGACCCTGGCTCGAAGAGGAGGAGGAGGAGGTGAAGGAGGAGGTGTGTGTGGGGGAGGCTGAAGATTTACGTTTTAAAACTCCCAGGGAATCCCCTTCACCATTTTGGGCTGCTGGGCCACTGTACTCCGAATATTTGGTGAAACTGGTATTGACTCAGAGAGGGTGTTCACCTGCAAAGTTTCTTCATTTTCCTGAGCCAGCCGCACCCTCTGTTAACAGCACCTTCCCAAACTGAATCACCACGCCCCGCCTCACCCCAGTGGCATCCAAGTTCATAGCCATTGTGACATTTCATCTGAGAAACAGCCTCCTCAAGTATAGGCTTTGCAACAATAATGATGATGGCGATGATGATCATGATGATGATGACAGCTGGCATTTATTGAACATTTACTATATATACAGCCCAACACCATATTTACTCCAGACTAGCTGTGCAGTCTTGGGGGAGTCCCTTTCTGTGCTTTCTACAATTGCTGTAGCAAGCGTCTTGGTGACTAAAAACTGAAATTAGCTCACAGTTCTGGCAGCCAGGCGTCCAGGATCAATATCACTGCCTCCTCCCCACTCATCAAGGTGTGCTAGGCCACGCCCCCTTAGAAGGTTCAGAAGAATCCCATCCCACTCCTCCAGCTTCTGCTGGTGCCAAGTGTTCTGTGGCTTGTGTTCCCACTGCTGCACTCTGCGTCCATCTGCACCTGTCCCCTCCGATGTGTGCACGTGATACTCTCTTACAAGTACATTTGTGATGGTGCATTTGTCAGCTTTCTCTTACCTCAGCAGAATGCCTCTGATAATTACTTTATAAAGACAAAGGGTGGGGGGCTGGAGAGATAGCTCAGTGGTTAAGAGCACCGGCTGCTCTTGCAGAGGACCTGGGTTCAAGTCCCAGCACCCACATGGCAGCTCACAACCACCTGTAACTCCAGCTCCAGAGGGTCTGATGCCCTCCTCTGACCTCCATGTGCACCAGGCAAGCGCACAGTGTACTTAGGAATACACAGGCAAAACGCTCATACACAGAAAATAAAAATAAATCTAAAAGAAAATAGGATGGTTTCCTCCAGCCCAGTTTTGGATGTCTTTGCCCATGAGCTCCTGGCTCTATTGCTTTGCCTGTGTGCTGCACACACCATGTTACCAGAATGGTTAGTTTTAATTAAAACAAATTAATCATCCTTTTTAGTACACCTATTTATTTGTAGAGGTTTTGACTCATGCTTCCATGCATGTGTGAAGGTCA